CGGCCCCCGGAGCCATCGAAGAGGGGTGCGGGACGAAAAAAGCCATCCCCGCCGTGGAAGGGGTCGGGGCTATGGGGCCGCGGATTGAAGAAATCAGCTCGGTGGATGCCTGAGGAATAGGGGTTGCCCCATGCAAATTCCACGCTGGCTCGAACATGCACCCTCGACCTCGTTGCTAGCGGTGTTTTTGGAGCCCCCATTGTGCATCGCTCCGCTCCGCCTAGGGTCCCATCGTCAACGATGCTCGTTCGATCCTGCGGCATAGGCAAGTTGGCTCGAAGAGGCCCTAGGGGGCGAAACGCGTGTAGGGATACAGTCAGGGGCTGACCTCAGTTCTGGCCGTCGGTCTGGCAGACCACCGAAGAGTCCACTCGCTCCACACTCCGCGAGTTCATCAGCCCCGTCGTTCAGGAACAGTCCCATGTGAGACTCCACTTTCCGCCACACTAGTAGGCATTGACCAAGCTCATCAACCAGGCGCCTAACATGCAGGATCAGCCTGATACTCTGGCGTGCTCTCGAAAGTCTGCGTGCTATGTTGGTCGCGTACTCCGAGTCATACTCCATGCAATATGATGCAGGGCATGAAGAAAACGACGATGTACATATATGATCGCGTACGAGAGATAAGGCGTAACAAATGGCGCTCAGCTTACCGACGTTGTTCGAATGCCTGCACGCACCAAACAGCAAGGATCGGATTCAGCGAGGATGGTGGGCCCCCGCACACGTCCAGCAGCGGAGCCGTGCCGGGCTCTTAGAGGATCCGTCGCGCGGCACGACAATCCCAGCAGGGCGCTGAAAAGCAGGAAGGGCTGGTTGAGCAGGAGAGGCTCTCGGTGAGCACGCCGTAAGGGTTGAGGTCCGAGCCCGGGCTTGATCCTCTTCAGCAGAGGAAGAGCTGACCGGTAGATCTCCTGCAGAGGCCGCGACCGCGGTAGCGCCAGGTCAAGAACTGCCGGCTTCCCGCTTCGACGGTCCACCAGGGCCTGCGTGGCGATGGCGTTCACGCGAAGCACACACAAAGATATTGAAATTGCATGGTCAATTGCCAGCGCTGGCACACCGCACCGTGCCAAGTAAGGAGACAGGCTCCCTCGCCGAACTTCAGCAGGCACCAGTTCTCGCAAGGTTCGCTGCTCTGCAGCGCTGGAGGGACACTGCATTGCCCGCCACAGACGATGTGGAACAGATTCCACCATCCGGCCACAAAGTGAACACAAATATCAGGAGGGGAAAAAACACAGACACAATTAATCGTCGATTCCCAGGAAAATATGGGAAAATATGGGAAGTGGGGGGAAGACAAAAACCCCAAAAATATTTGAAAATATGGGGAATCTTTTAATTTGTGTGTATTTACTTGTGTGTCCTGGGGCCCCTTCGAAATGGTCATGATCGTGGAAAGGGACCTGGGAAAGATTCAAGGATGTAACCTCCTGTGCCGAGGCCGGGCCCCCCGCAGTGGAGCTGCGCCCAGCAGGTCTGCTCGCGCGCGGGCCTCTCCTCAGACAGGCCGCCCTCGAGACCGCCACAGTCCCCGGGGGGGCGACGAGCAGCCTGCCGTCCAGCACTCGGGGGCCCCCGAGCGGTGTGGTGACCACGCCGTGCGGTGAGTCGGCGGGGCCTCGGGGCCACCGCACGGTTTTGGGACTCGGGTCGTTCTCCGAGGCCGTCTCGGGCGACAGGGGCCTTTGGGGTCCCAAAACCGTGCGGTGACGGAACGTGCGGTGAGGTCTCTTGGGGTTCTAAGGTCACCGCACGGTCTTCTGTCACCGCACCGTTTCGGGACTCCAAAAGCAACAGCACGGCGCGGAGGTGCGGGCGGCTGAGCGCGGGCGCAGCTGACGTACTCGCGGACCTTGCTGCGGCGTCGCAGCTCTACGGCCGGCAGCAGCGGGGCGGGCGCCGTGGCACGAGTGCGCGGACGCTCGCTGAGCGCGTCTGCACGCTCGTCGTCACCTAGTGCGCAGTCGCAACCCTGGCCGCCCTCTGTTACTAGCGGCGCCGCGGCGCCGCATGCCGTTCCTCCTTCCTTTCTTTTTTTTCTCTCCAGATCAACCCAGGCTTCGGCGCGGAGGAGGTGTGTGTGTGGACTTTAAACGGAGAAGGTTAAAGGCGAGGTATAAATCGAGCATGTACCGCTGCCGTGCCTGGCTCAAGCCGGGCCCGGCCTGATATGTGACTGTGCCTCACTGAGGCGCACTACTTGCATCTGAGATCGGAAAACATCCTTTCCATTGACGATGCCCATCTTACTCTATACTCCAGATCCCATGCTTCGTCTCGCTCTCTTGCTCATGCGCTATGAGCCTAAGCCTGGGATATGGAAGCGCCTAAGGCGGACTGTATACCTAAGCTTACCAGCTTGTTTTCGACTTGGTAGCGGAGCTGGCTACACTCTCGTGTGGCTGGCTCTCGCTCTGATTCCAGTAATCCACGGCACAACTTGGTGGACTACTACTACGGTGGAATACCATGTTGCGCCGGCTCTGCGAGG